ATGAAAATACTTTAAGGAACATTCTTCTCATGTTTATATGACAATTCTAGTTGACTGGGCTTAACAATGTCATGTCTTAATTGGTTGAAAATTTTTGCTATATTAATTTCAGTTATAATGTTTTTAAATGGATTCACACTTTTCTTGATTACTGAATCAAGATATTCCAAACCATTATAACTGTATTATAAAATATTATAGTTAAGGGTAAATGAGTTTAGTCTCCACCAACCTTAATTATCAACTTTATTATAATTCTTTAGATTTCATAAAATGATTTATTCGAGGGTTAAAATTATTTTAGATGAAAATTACAAAGGTCTTTACACATCTAAAAATAAGGAACGACAAATCCTCTTTTCTTTTCTTTTTTCCTTTCCTCACTTAGCCTCAAATTTTAGGTTTATATTGGAAGAATGACATTATTGTTTGAATGGATTAGCCTCAAATGTGACATATTACTAGTTCATTGAACCAAACACTACACTATCTTATCCACTCAACAATTCCCTTATTACTTCTTTACATTCAAGATATGCTTTTTCTCTAAATACACTCTCCTTTTAAGTATATTCTTAAATGAATGTATCAGAAAGTTTGACCGATAAAAGCTTTGATAATTTATCGTAAGATCTTAAGCTCGAATCTCGCGAGTGTCGTTTATCTTTGATAGAAAAACAAAAAACACTTCTCAAATGCATGTACCAGGTAAAATTAGAATTTGGTTATATGCTCAGCACCAGGCTACCAGATATAAACCAAGGAGGCAATCAATCGACCTCGTCACTACCTGCTTTGCCATCTCCTCTACCTGTTGGCTATGCAGACTGAAGTAGTGATCGTCGGCGCCGGGCCTTCCGGTTTGGCCACTGCAGCAAGCCTCCATATTCTCGCAATTCCCTACGTGGTGCTAGAGAAGGATACCTGTAGTGCATCAATGTGGAAGCTTCGGACCTACGACCGTCTGCAGCTTCACCTGGCCAAGCGGTTCTGCGAGCTGCCGCACATGCCGATCCCCAGAAACGCCCCGACCTACCTCCCCAAGGCTCAGTTCATCCAGTACTTGGACGCTTACGTCGAACGTTTCAACATCAACCCTGTTTACTCCACTGACGTCCAGCTCGCCTCCTACGACGAAGACAGCAAGACCTGGCGAGTCATGGCGAGGAACGCGCTGACAGATGAGGTTGAGGAGTACAGGAGTCGGTTCTTGGTGGTGGCTTCCGGCGAGAACTGCGAAGGGTTCATCCCGGACCTCCCCGGGCTGCAGAGCTTCTCCGGGGAAATCCTCCACTCGTCGTCCTACAAGTCGGGCAGACCCTACACCGACAAGAGCGTCCTCGTAGTCGGAAGTGGCAATTCCGGGATGGAGGTAGCTTATGATCTGGCGGAACACCAAGCGAGGACTTCCATAGTCATCAACAGCCCGGTATCACACATCGTCATCTTGTTATATATGCAAAGATCTAGATAGCATGCATTAATAACATGTGGAATTCACGCGCAGCTTCATGTGGTGACCAAGGAGATGATCTGCATGGCGATGGTTATGCTGGGTTGTCTCCCTGTATGTTTGGTGGATGCATTAGTTGGCCTTCTGGCCAAGTGGAAGTACGGAGACTTGTCCAGGTACGGCATTGTTAGGCCAACCATGGGGCCGATGCGCCTCAAGGCCGTCACCGGAAGGTCAGCCGTTATCGACGTCGGGACCGTCGAAAAGATCAAGACTGGAGAGATCAAGGTAAACACAGACATTTGGATGAGCTGTACGAGAAGACATCTCTTCTCTCCCCTCCTCGTTTCATGACGTGTATCAGCTAAATGTATGTGTTGTTTTTGACGACATATCATCGACGTAAAGGTGGTGAAAGGGATAACCAACATCAGAGCAAATGAGGTCGAGTTCGCAGATGGCAATTCATACCAGTACGATGCTATAGTCTTTGCCACCGGCTTCAGAACCAATCCCAGGAAATGGCTACAGGTAAACTTGCAGTCCAACTCTTGTGTTTTAGTTGGTAGGACTTCGTTTCATCTCTATGTTCAAGATTTTTCTCCCAAAATTCTAATAAGTTTCGGTAATTATTAGAAATGATAATTAGAAAGAATGCAAATTTTTTATTTCCATTCCTCAATAATCTTTAACCTTTATAAATAATCATTTTATAAAGGTTAAGTCTTAACTTAATTTATAATTAGGTAGCATATGCTTATTAGAACTCTCAAAACTATCTAATTTAACTACAAATTTTGATTTCCCAATGTCTTTCTATCAAATTGAACTTTGAGAAAAGAGTATAGAAATAGGAAAAAAAAACTTGATATTATCTCTATAAATATAGTCAACATATCCAACATTCTCCAAAGAAAACCAAAAAAAGCTTTGAAATATATGTCATGAAAATCCATAATAAACCTTCATGGTCTTATTATATGTTTCAATTAGTTACAAAACCTCAATCTACCCTGAATCAATTTTTCTATGGAACTAATCTAACTAAAATCAAAAGTAAAAGTATCCAACACCTTTATTTTTTGTGAATATTCATCTTCCTAAAACTTCAATAATAATGTTTTTTTTTGTTAGTATATCCAACATCTTAATCTTTACACCTAAGATTGGTCCCGTGCTCATATTACCAAATCTACTTACTACTGATTGAAGATTCAAAATCTAATCCAATGTATTCCATAGTTTAAGATTAGTATGAAACAGGTATATCATATCAACTTGCAATGATTGATGATTTGAAACTTCGATCGACTTATTTTTACACATAAGGCATTGGTCCAGTATCGATGTACCAAACCTATTTATCAAAAACAAGACTTAAAAATCTTATATAATATATTTGAAGGCGTTGAACAATATAGTCAGCAAAAGCTTTGATGGATCATGGTAAGGTCTTGAGATCAAATCATGCTTTCCCTAGTTTCATTTGCTTAGTAAAACATCTTAATCTTTAACTACTAATATGGCTTCGTATTTTTTTCGTATGAGTAGTAAAAAAACTTTTATACTTCCAACAAAAGTAAACTTATCTTATTATATAATCTATTTGCTAACTATTTCAATTTCAACCTTGCTTTCTTCAAATCGTTTCAATACTATTTTGAAAAATCTCTCAACATTTCTTGATCTCTTATATTTCAATGT